AGAGAGAGAGAGAGAGAGAGAGAGAGAGAAATATTACGTTTGTTTTTTTGTATTTTTTTTCGCGCTACTCGATGAATATTGACGGCAGAATTAAAAAAAGTTAACTAGTTAAAAATTTCGAATAAAGTTTTAAGTCAATTAGTTATTAAAATGCTGGAATAATATTTCGTTTTAGCTATAATCGATTCGCAATTATTATTATTATTGTTTCGAATTTTGATAAATTTGTCGAAGTATAAGTAACTTTAATTAATTAAATTTTAGTGGTATTATTGAAGGTAAATAAGGATTGTTTTCTCTTTTGTTAATATTCAATATTATAAATCTATATGTATTTACGTTTGTAAATCGAACTGATATAAATATATAAATGCAACATATTATTCGTTTATTTAGATTCACACCACACGAAAATGCGAGCCACTGTTGAATCGGATAACTTGTTTTCTCGCCAGAGAGAAAAAGAGAGAAAAAGAGATTTCTTTATTTGTCATTCTTTTTTTTTATGGATATTGACAATAAAAATAAATAAATAAATTATTTTCTCTTTTATCAATTTAATATTATAAATTTATATTTACGTTTGTATGTATAGTTTGTGAGTTACTCGACAGCTATAAAAATATATATATGCAACACGTTATTCAGATCATCATGCCATCATACGAAAATGTGAAGTTATATACTTCCTTTATATATCACTTTTATCTTTATTAAGTAACTCGAAAAGAGAGTTTAGAAAAAAAAGAAGAAAAAAAAAAAAAAGGAAATTAAATCCCCTCCCGTATCCCTTACGGTTTCGCGAACAATCACGTAATAGATACTTTCTCGATGAACGCATCGGCACATCGCCGCATCCCTGAACGCGCGTCCCTGCCCGACCGCCATTACGCCACATCAAATTTACTCTCCTCCGACATCCAGGCATCCAGCCTTGTATCATTTTCTCGAGTATCCTCTTCCCTTCCTCTCTCTCTCTTTCGAGAAATAGAGAGAGAACGCGTATCACTCCCTTTTGGAAAGGGAGGGAAACATGTTTGGGATGATCGTGGTTGAATCGTGGACATGGACTTTGGGGACCGCTTCTCGCGTTACTCTCGGGAAACAAGTAACGGGCCGAGAATGAAGTTGATGTCGAATCGTAGCGGCGACGAATATTCGAAGGGAATTTTTTAAAAACTAATGTTTCAAATTACCTGTTTCATCACCGAATTTTTCACCACTTTGAAAGTACGCGTGCACTCGGGATGCGTGATAAATATCGGCTTCGTAGGTATTACAAATCAGATAGTATTCATTTTTTTTCTTCTCTCTCTTTCTCTCTCTCTCTCTCTCTGTGTTCTCTGAATCATTTCGATGGAATACAGTGAATCATCTAAGATTTGAGAGTGGAATATTTTCGAAATTATTTTAATTTAGTAAATATTTTATATTTAATATTTTTATTCCGATTCCATAAAAAAAATCTATTAAATTTTCGCACTGATTATCTTCGTTAGATCATCTGTCAGATCTGCTTCTCGTTTTTCGTCAATAAATATTTGTCCGCTCTTAACAAAGACTGAAACCATTGTCTCATTTTATTATCGCTAATTATATGGGGCGTAAACTGTCTGCGATTTTCAGCAGCTAGAAAATAAATAATTACACGATTATAACTTATCGTAAATTATCGATGTATAGTCATACAATAAATATAAATTTATCAAAAATTAAAAAAAACCTTTTTATTTTAATTTTAAAACGAATCTTATTCGAAGAATATTCTTTCAATCTCGGATAATTCATCCTCCATCATATCGTATCGTACAATTACGAGATCGAAACGACGTCGAAACGTGTAGAGCACGTCAAAAGAATCGAATTAATTCTTGATGGAACTTGCTCCTTTTGATCAGGTGTATCTCTTTATGAGTGGTCAAAGGCGAAGGAATCCGTCTAAGCCAGGTCCCGCATTGTAACAGAGACGAGCGAACGAGCGAGCGAGCCAACGTCCAGAAAACCTTTCTCGAGCCTGTTATAAATTAGTCGAGTTTTATTGCGCCTTATGTTCCCTGTCACGCCTTATACAGGGAACTTCATTTCTCTTCCCTCTCCTTTCGAACATTTAATAGATAAGCAACTGGTAAAAACATTCTCGCGTGTCTCACTATTATTCACCACAACTTCGTTTATTGATTCCTCTGTCTCTTCACGATTATGCGTTATATTCTTTCACATTTACCATCTGACCGGCGATCTGTGCGAATGCGAATTCTTTTCGACGACACAACACACATGAAAAAGATAGCGATGACGAATAATTTTTCGTTGTTTTATATATTCATAATAATATATCTTGTATCGTTGAATTTGTTTTTCTTTTTTCGGTTTATCGATTGTTTTTACATAAAAAAGAATATCATATTGCAACGAGGTGTTCTCGTGAAAAGAGAATATGTTTTTGCGCAGAAACTTCTAGGCTAGGTTAGATGACGAAGGATAAAATAGGTGTCCTTGGTGATCGAAAGTACTGTTCATTGGTGGAAAGAAGTCTCACGAAAGAAACACAAGTCTGATTGGTTAATTTGAAAGGGAACGCCTATTTTCACACGTACGTTTTCTTTCTATCGTGGTATTCGTCACGATATAGCAATTTAACGACGATCTATATCTTAACGATGCATTAGCGTGGGCATAGAATTCAGAGTATTCTAAAAATTTTGTTATTTCTCATATGTATAATTTATAAATGTAATTTCGTATTCGAGTAGTTGAGATAATAATTGTAGGTATACGAATAAGCTAAATATATTATTAATATATTAATAGTTTCAAAAATATTTCAATCTTACATGATTATCGATTTTAAATATTCAAATTATACTTCTTTTACTACTATGTATCAGGATTGTCAACAAAACATTTGAAGTAAAGATAGACGATACTAGGGAAGATTCTTCTTTCTTCAACAATGAATAGTACAAATGTGACGCGATTACATGGAATAGATCTATCGAACGATTATCCATAGGTCATCGAGAAAAGAAAATTTCCCAAATTTTGAATTTTCTTACGCAAAACCATTCTAGTATATTTACACTCCTGCTCTCCGATTCCAATAAACGATAAGATTTATTCGATTAATTTCAAATTAGAAATTGAAAATTTCACGTACATTCTCCATATTACAACTTTTAATCATCCGGATTCATCGAATTTTTATCGTGAAAAAAATTTTTCACCGATTCCATTTCGGGAATGAAAGAGTCGAAAAAAAAAAGATATAAGGCACATTGGCTCGGATGAAACTAAAAAATCACGGACGCTTTCGACCGTCGTGCGTCGCGCCATCAGCCGAAATGAATTCCCGGACGAGGTGGAGGGACCCCTTGATAAGATCTGGAAATTTCTGCGCGACACAACTCCGTCTCGTGTCGTCGGGAATAGAAGAGGATATCCTCTCTCGCGAAAATTTACCGCGCTTGTTTACCCTCAAATTAACAAGTACAATGGCGCGTTTCGAGATTTCCTCCTTGTCACGAGTCCCGTTTGTGACACGTTCCTTCCACTGTATTAGCCCGACTCACGCGTCCCGCAGGAGCAGTTTTCCTCCAAGTTTCCATCCAAGTTTCGAAATCCGACCCTACCCTCCCCTCTCTTTCTCTTTCTCTCTCATCTGTCCGATACGTGTCACGGGACGAGGTAGCTCAATGGCCAACCGAATACTCGCGATATCGTCTTCCCTTACGATTATAATCCTTGTGCACGAGAAGTTATCGCGTTGCACCTCCGTTTCGACGCCTTGGCGATTAGGGAATACGTGGCTTCAAACGATTTGCCCTTATACGAGAGAGAAAATCGAATAAATTTCAAATAAATTAATTATTCAAGATTGCTCGTCAAGGTTCGTTTCGATGTTACGTACGAGTCTTGTACGAATGCCAAAATATGCACGCGTCCGCAGTTAACGAGGAAAGCATTCAGAGAATAAACGCAACGCGTTTCTATCATATT